TCGATTATCGGAGGACTTGTGGTGAACGATTATCGATTATAAGCGAAATGTACACATTTTTAATGTAACCACTAATTTTAAGGGTTTTTCCCCAGTTTTTTTCTAATAAATGTTTCTTATAACTAATACTGTCATGCAATGAAATGCACGCATGATAAAAAGACACTAGGATTCTAATTAGGTAAACAATAAAAGTGGTTAAAATTTTACAATGCGCATAGCTTTATGCTGTCGAGAGCATGTTTGTTCGTGAATATTCATCAAATTTAATGGTTAGTTTACTTCATTCAAGTGTAATACTGAAATAACAAAATTTATGATCAATCGAAAATATGTTTTTTTACAATCGATAATTATTACAGCTTCATATTTCTGAAGGACAATTTTGCTAAAATTACGTTTGTTACTTGCAATGATTCCGGTTCAAACATGTCATTATATTTGATGAATGGAAGGTAAGTTGAAGTCAGAAAATGTATTTAATCGACGAAAATATATGTTTTTGTCTATATATATCCAAATTTTAATGAATTTTCTTCAAATTTTGTAGAATTTCTAGTGCAATCGTATTGGCGTAGTTTGAGGCTAAAATTCGTAGCGACTACGATAAAATCGTAGAGGTTGGCATCTCTGTAATTCCATCCTGAACATGATTCAGAAGCAGACTACGACTGAACACCTACCATTGTGTACTGTCTACAAAACTTAAAACTCATCACAATAGTATATGTGCGATATTACTGATGACAAAATATTCATATCGATAATCATTCATAATTTTTCTGATCGACGATATTTCCGATTGTAAATCTATTTAGCCAGCCCTGCTCCATACATTCTGACTCACTCAATGCAGCAGTGTTCGAAATACCTGCCTGCCTGACTGCTGGGGATGGTTTATTTTCAACATGGACTGCCAGATTCTCAAATTTGGGTTAAAATTTAGACATGTATATGAAGATATTTTGGGCAGTAAGTTTTGGTCAGGGCTGGCAAGTTTTACATCTAACCAGCCCGGTGGTGTGGCTGAAATTTTTAGGAGTTTCATACCCTGGCATCGATCAGTCCTAGTGATGACGGTCAATAGTATTAGCACGGTTACAGACATCTCACAACATCAAGGACAAACTTAACAGTGGAAGAAGGTACCCATTCGGCAGCACTTTGTGAAACAACATGAAAATATCTGTGGGACAATTCAACAAGCACTCGAAACCTATATGGCTTGGTAATTCCAGTGTGTACAAGCATTAGGTTACGGCGGCTTCGAATCCTGCCCTGGCACTTGGTGCATTATATTCTTACACACATCAACTGACATTGGAACACAACATTTAAGAAACTATTCTCAACTATTTACGGATGTTAAACACCTGTTAACTTGTCACCTTGAATCAGATGTTTCAAACCTCGAACATAAAAGTGGTAAGAGACCATTTTTACTTAGTGGAGAGGCTGCAAATGTAAATGTTTTAACTTATTTTAAAGATATCGAGCATGTCCCAGACACAGGCAATATTATTTTCATAAAACCTGAGGGGAAGTTTTCTCCTTGGTGATTTTGGGGTATTTTTTTTAAAATCCCAGACCCCCAAAAATATTTTTTTTGAAACTGAAATAATCCCAGACCCCAAAAAAATATTAAATGATTAATCCCTAAGGTTGAAACTGAAATATTTATTCTACTGACTATTTATGTAATCTGACATAACATTTTTTCTTTAATGATGTAAAAAATCACAATTATTTTTGTAAAATAATCTTTAAAAAATTTCAATTCTCAACCATTTTGTATTACATTTAATTTTGTTTACAAAGTTTGAGAAGCCGAAACGGTTCCAACACGTGTATTTAAGGCAAAACAATCTTATTGCCTGCACTTATTTTTTTAAAAACCCGCGGCACAGAGTTAAAAACCCGCGGCTAAGAAACAACTGTTTATAATTCCCTGTTTGAATAAAATATTCACATTTAATACAGCCATGGGAAAAAAATGAATAAGCTTCACAACTGGACAAAGTGAGCATTTGTAACCGAAACATCTTGAACAATATCAAAAAATGAACTGACAAAGTTAAACTGAGCACGGCAGCAAAGAACGCATAATATGATGATGTTTATATACAAGGGTGAACTCTAACAGTAGCAAATCACTCACATGACAGGAATCATGACAAATATTCACGCACATGTTCACGGCACTTGTGACAAGGTGATCTACAATCACGGATGGCATGTCATTGCGGACAGTAGGGCTGGGACGGGTCCATTTTTCTACCCAGGTACCCCACCCCCTATTACCCTACCCTACCCTACCCGGATACCCGTTATGTTAATTCCTGACATCAAATTTGCAAGAAATGGCAATATATTCTTCAGCTCGGAGGCTAAAAGTTCGAGTTTTTCAATATCTTAACCATGGATTATATTCAAAAGAAGTGACTGTAATTATGTTTAAATCTTTAAAAGACGATACAACCTTTTAATCATGAAAGAATAACATATTACATTCTTTAATCTATTCGTCACATGATCATAAAGGGTCCGGGTATTGAGACGGGTACCCAGGTCCAACTCATTACCCACCCGTCCCGGGTATCCGAGTTACCCATCCCAGCCCTAGTGGACAGTATTTCAGTTCCAACAAATCCTGGAATTCAGGTCTATTCTGTTCAGACTGACATTAAACCAATTGATTTGATAGGTTAGATTTTATTGTGTTATACACTTGTTCTGCATGGAAGCATTGTTTCAATTTCAAGATACTCCTGATTCTTTTCAACCAGGTGTATTTACAGTATCTGCCATTTTGGCAGAAAGGGTCGTTGTCGGCACGGGTACTACAGATTTGTCCCCGAGGTACATTCCTGTATACAGAGACATACCCAATATCAGCAGTGTTGGAAACCTTTCAAAATTTCCCACTAGACCACAGGACCAGTGAGTGGACAATAATTAGTGGTCATGTCTGTACTTCCCTGGGCAACTGGAGTGATTGTGAATGTAAAACGTGTTCCTGTTTTCCCATGCGCTTCTACTTGCGAGTATTACTCCCTTTTCAATTTAAAGACAATTTTAAATTTAGATGGGGAACAAATTCACTGGCTACCAGGACCACTGCAAACTTATCATTTAGTGATCCTGATGAAGTTTTACTAGTCAGGGACCACAGGACCAGCGTACATTTCGCACACTGAATCAGCATACAGAAATGTACATTAGGACGATTCCATTCTGCACTGTGTCATTTTCTTGATTGGAACTGTCATACAGCTGTATTTGATGCATTTAATTGTGTTATATAAGAAACAAGCATACACAGTAACAAATATTTCGCGATGCACAAAACCACTCACAATCAGCTGAACAGGAACAACTAAATACGGTTTCAGTTTTTGGTTGCGGAACATGAACTTGTCCATTGTTTAGGGTATCGGGTATGTTTCTGTATTTTGACTTTGTTTAGGGTACATTTCTGTATACAGAAACGTACCTGGGGTACATATCTGTAGTACCTGAGCCATGACCCCTTCAGTATAATTAAGCTATGGTAGCACACCTGCCTGACGGAGCGCAACCACTGCGCCAAAAGTTAACGGCAAGGAAACAACACCAACAGTAAATGGTTTCAACAAAACAGATGAACTACAAAGCGAAAGAATAACATTCTTTACAAAAACTTCATGTTAAAATAGATCATTCAAACAATAAATTCCAGTGCTCTTCAGTAACTGTTTAAGCCCAACTCAAAATCTGTACAATTAAACCCTGAAGTAATCAGTTGGAATACACGTTAATAAGACCAAAATAAGTATGTGTAACGGTTTCTGAGAAAATCTGTCCCCATTGGGGATACCGTGCACAAAGGCAAGAAACGCATGACAACCCATAACTCTGTAACAAATTGTAACTCGATTTCCCCTTTCGAACTCCAAGGCATTCATGTCCTGAAAACACGTACCAAATTCGGTTTCCCTATCTATAACGGTTTCTGAGAAAATCTGTCCCCATCATCTCGGACGGATGGAGCTCAAACCTATTTCCCCGTCACTTCGTGGCGGAGGATAATAAGGGCAGTTGATTCCATGATGTTTGCAGAGAGAAGTCCTTAAAACGATATGATTTCTACATAAAGGTTATGCAACATAAACACAGACAGAAGCCAGTCTATATGCAGCATGCGACCCATTCATCATGCAGTTTCTAATGAGCAAGACATTGATGAGGAGGATGTTCAGGAATGTGTTCACACAAAATTGTGACATTGTGATAAATGGCACGAGTCACACAATGAGGGTGGTAATATTTGAAAAACATAAATGACTACCGTCCAACAGGTGCAAAGAGAGGACAAGCTACGATATGACGCTTTGACCCATATGTTCTACATTTAAAAAAGAAGTTAACTTGTACCAATTGTTATCGCACTTAAAAAAAAGCATGAAAATCTGACTTGATTCATTTCATGAGCATGTTTGAAAATACAAACTTATAGGTAAGGTCAAGACAACAATTTTCATATAAGCTTATTTCAGTAAAGCTTTTACATTTTAATGGCAGACATGTGGAAGGCGTTTCCAAATTTCATGCATCAGTGACAAAAATTAAGTCCAGTGCAATTCCCTAATTTACCATTATTTTGCTGTGTGTTTTATTCAGGTTAATAATTGCCCTTGCATGTGTTTGTGACAAGCACCACAGATAGAGCAAGATAAGTTGTCTCTGGTATTATCACCATTACATATAACATGTATCACCATTTGATAGTGTCTTTAAAAATCTGCCTTTGCCATAAATTCAGCTAAAAAAACATGATAAAGTAAAATTGCTTGTTATCTAAAATTTTGAAAAGTTCGAAAATTTTCATACTTATATATTAAAGTGTTCAGTAACTGAAAACAATGGACGTAATCACTGAGCCATTTCTTGCCCTTTAAGTGAGTTAAATCAGAATGTGAAAAAAATACAACAGTGAAAAAGATAATTCAAAATTATTCTCTTTGAATTAACCATCATCTACAAGAGACTATATATTTGTGTTTTAACACCATTTAGAAAGAATATATTTTGTTAACTATTCAAGATTTAGTTTTGCATGACAGTCTTGAAAGAAGGTACTAAGCTGGGTGCAATGTGCAATGATGCAGATCTTCCTTTGGCAAGGGAGATAATTTCATGGATTTCTTTCACAACAGGAAGACCACAAGTGAAAATGTCAATGTTGAGGAATTTCCATGGACAATGCTTGGACAATCCAAGGGTCATTCCGAGAACCTTCTCGGAACTCTTCTTTGGTCAACATTCCATCCTGGTTCTGTGGAAGGAAATCACGGTATATATGCTAAACCCTGAATGTATTATGTCATTCATAATCTGTTAACTATTCTAATATACTACCCATCAAAAGTATTTATATATGTATGGCTACATCAAAGATGAATTTCCCCACTATCTTGGGGGAATCAGCTGCAAACCTTATGCAGATGAACTGCACGAGGATCATGCATTAAATTGCTGAAAAACGTGCAAATATCATGCATGTGAACAGCTGAGTTTTGGTGTAAAGTTTTGTTAAGAAATCGCCAATGTTCACTGAGTTTCATCATGTATTGAATTCATGACAATAATCATTTCAACGTTACAATTTGTTTTACAATACATCAGTTCATGTGTAAACAGTACCTTTAAACAGCATGGAATATTTTGCAAATTCTAATTTAGAACAGTTGACTAAAGTAAGTGGCTACATTTACACTAGTGAGTCTAAACTTTTGATGGGTAGTATATGTTCAGAACCAAGGAATTTGTTTCTCAGAATTTGATCAAGTTACTGATGATATAATCTTTAAAAATGTTGAATATGGACATACGGTATAAAAGGCACATTCTGAATAGCACAACACTGTCTGGTTAACCAATTAAATGCTAAGGTATCACTTGTATTTGTATCCACCATGCTTTTCAACAACAAAAAAATCAAATAATTTTCTTAGACCATTGAACCAAAAGAGAAAAGTGATGATTGCAAACAGCCTAAAGCTGAAGTTTTGACATGGAAAAAAATAAAAAAATAATATCAACAAAAAATTGTAATATTAATGAAGCAAAATGGCAGCTATATATTCAGGGATAAAAACCCTTTTTCTAAGCATGTCTTAGGGCACCAGACAAATATTTTAGATGTGCCTTTCAGAAATAAAGTGTGCCCACATGTTTTTAGTTTTTAGCAATGATGATGATCATTTGAAATTTATTGTTAGTAAACAACAAATGTAACCTGTTTTCTGTTATCACTGATATGTCTTCTGTTTAAGATGGCTTTCTTAAGCTTCATTTGTTCTGCTTTCCCAACACCTTTAATAGCTACGAATTTTGTGACAGGTTCACTTGTTCAACATATCTAACATACACAATTTCCTCTTCAATAACTGAACTATCAGTACTCCCATCACTCTAAATGGAAAAACAACCAGATTTCTTTACATCATCCATCATAATTCCAGTAATTTCCTGGGTGATATAAATCAATAAATGTTTTTGCTTATTTGTCATTTGCGTGCGCAAGTGTTTTGTTTTGGGGATTAAATTACAAAAGTTGAGTTATGTCTCTAAAAAGGGCACCGAGAACATTTTTATCCGTGCCATTTCAATATTTACCATTCCATGGCAAGCTAATATATGTGGTATTTCAAACCCTGATATTACTGATATATTGATATACAATATTTAAAAAAATTAATTCAGATAATGTCTTTAGCCTATTGAACCAAATGAGAAACATAATGATCTAAAATATCTAAAGTGTAAGTTTTGACATTCAAAAACCAATAATATAAACCATAACTTGTAATATTAATGAAACAAAATGGCAGCCGTATATTATTGATGTCTACAAAATGTCAACTCTCCAGATTATAAACTGTCAAGAATCTACTTACCAGATCCATCTGGTCAAATATTTTGTTGACTCTTTTCTCCGGTGTGTCTTCATCTTTCGGGAGATCAAGCAGATTACCCACCATGCAGTAGATGGCATCCACGATATCCACCATCTCGGCCTTGGTTATGTAGCCGTCATTGTCAAGGTCATACAAGTTGAAAGCCCCTGGGAAGAGTGAATAGTTATATCGTTAACCCTAACATTCATAACTCAATATTGAATAATAATAATAATAATAATGAGGATACTTATGTCGCGCAATACTCCACACCACAAAGGGGCATGCTCAAAGCACACACACACAGCACAACATTATTACCCTGGATAACTGTTGGGTGCTAGAAGGTTATAGTGACATGGTCTGTTTCTCTTTTTTTTTATCAGTTAAGGAATTTATCTGGACCTGCTAAGTGGCTGATATGTAGCATTAAGTAGAAAGCAAACTTCAAAATTCCCAAATTAGCTATTGATCTGCAGAGGTCACCAACAACATTTTTCTTAGAAGTATAGTACAAAGTAATAACACATTTATCAATGTGTAATTGTATTTCAATCAAGCTTGCGGCCATCATGTTGACTTTTTCTATCAGAGTGACCGATGTCCATTGGTGACGGGAAAAACAATGGTGTCTGAAAGCTTATTTTATTCATACCGCCTAAACAGATAGGGTCGGCACCAGAATTCAAGGGTTGGTCGGGTAATCAGAACCAGACCATTATTGTTTTAGGCCTTATATGATCTATTAAACAGTAATAAACACACCTGAAGATAAGAAAATAAAGGACTTCTGTAGTCTGTTTGCAGTGAAAACGTACCGATGAATATCACTTTAAACAAAAAGTAAACCAAATTAAGTGAAATTAAGATTGCGAATCCTCATAAGTTTACCTTGCCAAATGAACATTTAAATCTCATATTTTTATTCAACTTAGGGTAAAAGTTGTTTAACAAATTCATCATAGATTCAAATCGCTATTATTGGTTTGTATTACAAGGGGGTAAGGGCAGTAGATGGAACAGTGAAACAAATGCACGTGCGGTACGTGATGAGCGTTAACTTAGACCAACCCTACTTGTTCTCGGTGTTTCATTTAAAGTACATACCCCCTTGTAATACAAACCAATAATAGCGATTTGAAACTATGATAGTTTGTTAAACAACTTTTATCCTAAGTGAATAACATTCTGAGATTTAAATGTTCAATTGGCAAGGTAAAATTATGAGGATTCGCAATCTTAATTTCACTTTATTTGATTTACTTTTTTGTTTAGAGTGAATTTCATCGGTACGTTTTCACTGCAAACAGACTATAATAAGGACTAAGTTTTCTCCAGTTTGTCAGCAAAGTCCTTATATTCTGTATGTTACATATTCATGTAACAGCAAACGTTACAGTACTTACTAGAAAGTTAAAATCTCATAATTGATGATTGGTTCATTACAACCAATCAATCATCGAAAATAATTGGTTTGCATCATTTATCAAATTTTCCTGTTAAGTTTGTTAATGCACAAAAGTTATGTTGTTGTTTTTAGCAAATTGCACAAAATGCATTTGCAAATTACACATCTTTAAAGGATTACAAGTATGTTAGGAACATAAATTTCCTGAAGTCTTTACGATAAATTCAATCATGACTTGGAACGAGCTTGTAGTGCTTATGAAATGTAAATTCAATGACACAGGCAAAAGCAACCTTGTGGAAAATATTGTTAATGCAAACAAGTGTTTCAAAATTGTTTGTGTTGGATTATGAGAAAACACGATTGATTGCTTGGTCGTTTAGTCACTGCGACCAATCTTCGTTTATTTCAATTAATTGGACGTCTTGCTATATTTAGCTTTAGTTTTTTCATTTGTATCGCCCGCAGGTGATATTTGTTGAGTTTGTTGGGAGGTGCCAAGTGGACGAGCATCGTCTCCCATTTTCGCACGAGGCATCGGTCAGCTCGCTGACTCAAACTGAAAACTGACAATCACAGTCACAAAAGTAAGGGTAAACACCCTAAAAAAACGTATAAATAGCCCCTCGGGACTATTATCAAAACCAAACACTTCCAAATAAAATCAGAAGTTAGGGAAAAAACACATGTAATTTAGCCGTCTACGTAACTCACTGCTACCTCGCATAAGGCGCCATTTGCACTGATCTCGCGCATGCGCACTTGCAATCTCATGGGATCCCGCTAGCACGGGATTGGTTGGTAGAATTGGACCACCACTAGTACTTACAATCTAATTTTTCATCCAGGTTCCCCCTTGATGTCACTGATAATGCACAAATAAATTCCTTAAATGTTATATAGCCATCCTGAAAAGAAAGAAGCATGTTTATTGTAATAGTCAAAGACTTCAATTATCTAAACACACAAACACTAACTGGGAGAAGCAGTGTGGTAGCCTCGTATTTAAAGCACACATTTCATAGACATCGACATAGACAATACTTTATTACCATAAAAGGAATTCGTTTTGGATCACAGAGCTTGAGAAAATACAAATGAATAGCAACATAAAATATGAAATTACTAAACACATAAATATGTGCTTAAATATAATTAAATGAATAAGATGATAACTGGACAATCAACATTTGTTTAAAATTGCAATACTTTGAGGCATAAAAGACATTCGAGCTTGTTTAGTCTTGGTGATTGGTACTGTGTAGCGGCCCGAAGGTAACAGTTTATACTCTAGATTTAAAAAATGAGTTGTGTCACTAATGATGTTTTCAGTCGTGAAAGTGCTTGCAGCTCATAGAGAATGAAAGATTATCCAAAATGACACTGGCTATTTTACTAGCCGTATTTACAATTTTGTTAAGTTTTGATTTGTTTTTGACTAAAAGAGACTTGAACCAGCACTGAGAAGAAAAGTGAGTATACTCTGAATACAAGTGGTATAAAACAACATCATAACAGATTGGGCATTAAAAGATTGCACTTCGTCACATGGATTGCACTCCTTTGATTTCCCACATAAGGGGGCTGTGGGGTAGCCTAGTGGGTAAAGCATTCCGCTCGTCACGCCTAAGGCCGGGTTCGATTCCCCACATGGGTAAAATGTGTGAAGCCCATTTCTGGTGTACCCCGCCGTGATATTGCTGGAATATTGCTAAAAGCGGCATAAAATCAAACTCACTCACTCACTCCCACATAAGGACAATATGTGAAGCCCATTTCATCCTCTGCCATGATATAGTTGGAATATTGCTAAAAGCAACAAAAATCTTACAGACTCTCTCACCCATAGACAATAGGGAGTAAAAATTAATTTATTCTATTTTGTGTTCACATGAAGAAAATAATTTGGCACAAAAAAACCAACAAATATTTAAAGAATTAACTTTTAAGGGCTGGTACAAATCAAGGACTTCATAATATATCTGTTTTTCTGTCCAACAGGAGCAAAGTTTCATAACAGGATGACGCTATTTATTTTGATGACCTTTTGTGGCCAAGAGGTTTTCTTAGAAGTAATTTTCTTCACATACCCACCTTGTTTGAGTCAAAGACATTGAAAACAAACTGAGCAAACTTGGTTGGATTTCCATGTGGAAAGAACTGCTTGTAGATACTCTGGAACTCCTGCAAAACAAGGGAATAGTTAGTCTAATGTATGAAACGGATACGTTCAAATACACATCAAGGGAGACAACTCCAGCAGCCCTCTTTAACACAAGTATGTCCAGTTATGGCATGACACGGTAAGTCACCATCCCATTTTGTTTGTTGTTTATCTGAAGTATGTGAAGGGTATGTTACCTGTAAATGATCACATCTAGACCAGTGATTGATATAATGAGCAACTATCAACATGGTACTGTGATGCACCTCAACAGTCAGAGAGACTGACAACCATTAAGTTGGTTTATATACTGAGGCCAGACCAAATTTTATTCGTTTTGCGGATCCGCCAGTCATATTTTTTAAGAATAAGAACAAAAAAATGAACTTTCCCAGCTCAAAAAATGAAATCTTAATGTTTTTATTGGCCAAAAATGTAAACTTACAAGAATTTTTTTTAAGATTGTTTTTTGCCCCATATATACTTTATAAATTGCCAAAAGTAAAATACTTTCGTATTTACAAGGAATATTACTATGACTGTTGATTTACACACACACACACAAAAAAAAATTCCCTTCCTGCCTTAAGGTTTTCGGAGGACAAAAATCCATAAGACAAGAAATAAAATTGATCTGGCTTGAGCATATATTGTTGAGGCATTCAGTCTCAGAGTGAGTGAGTGGTTTTATGCCGCTTTCAGCAATATTCCAGCAAAATCACAGCAGGGGCAACATGAAATGGGCATCACACATAGCACCCATATGGGGACTCGAACCCGGTCTTCAGGCTGATGAGCAGACACTTTGACCACTTTACCCCAAATTGGGTTTTACGTCGTGCTTGAGGAATATTTAACGGCTCATATGAATATTTCGTGCTCATATGACGCCGTACATGCGTGTGTATGTGTAGGTGCGGCTGCTTGTACTAGCCCAGACTGGTTTTATAGTACTAGCCCAATGAGATACCATGCCGCAGTGAAGCATGAATACCCCACTCAGACACATTATACTGACTCCGAGCCGACCAGTCCTTGTTGTACCCATTAATGCCGAGCGCCAGGCAGGGACCAACAAGTACCATATTTTAACGTCTTGGTATGACGCGATCAGGGATCGAACCCGCGATCTTCGGCTCTCCGGGCGGACGCTCTAACCACTACACCACGGAAAAGGCGCAAGACATCTTCTAGTTAAGAACTACAACAAGAGTGATCAGTGGATGACATACTTCCCTGATCTGGTGTAGATAGGAAAGAGGTAGATTCATACCTACTTTTTGTTTAGGGGCCGTACATAATTTATGGCTAGGTGTGTGTGTGCTTGCGTGCATGTGTGTGGTGTCATCATTGTACATGCTTCTCCATAAAAATCATCACCCTCCTCTTCTCTCCCCCCTATAAATTATGTATGGTCCCTTACTGCATCGGATATCTTTAGTTCAATAAACACGGTAGTTTGGAACTTTTCCCAATTCATCAAAAGGCCCCTGTTAACTAGTCTGTCATACAGACCCTTAAACAATACACCCAATAGAGCCCATGCAAGTCTAGAGTGTCTGACAAGTCTAGATTACCACAGTTTCAGTTTCTGAAAATGAAGACAGTCTCTGGACTTCTTTTTATTGCAAGAGTAGTGGTTAAAGCATTTGCTGGGCACGTTAAAGACCTGGGTTCGATTCCCCACATGGGTACAATGTGTGAAGCCCATTTGAGTGTCCCCTCAATGACGTACAATGACAAAATTCTTTATTGACCAAGTAGTTGGAGAGATACAATTTCCAATATGCCTGTATGAAACTAAAGTTCTAAATATTAAAGTCTGTCTGATTTTTATTAATAAGATATTATTAGTAGCATATTCTAGTCTATGACATTAAAGGTCACATGCAACGTTAAACACAACTTTGCAGATTCTGATACCTTTCGGTATGGACTTACCAAAACAAATCATCAAAAATGCAAATTCAACTTATAAAGTTGAAAAATAACGCGATGAAAAAATCCGCGCGAAACCGGAGTTGGGCTTGGGGAAAAGTGGTTTCAACAGCTGGGCTGCGCTGCGCTGGGCTGTGCTCATAGCACATGCACAGTGAAATAGGTTCGCGCAGTTTGGAAGCGGGTTGTCCAGATTATAAGGTCGTGAGCAAGAGTAGTCTAATCAAAACAAATAGTAAATAATCTACTAATTACATAAAAGAACCTTGTTAGGATCCAGATCTACTCAGCTATGTGTCAACCAGTGAGGCGTTCGACATTTCAAGACGGAAAACCTTCGCTGGCGGTGAATACTCGGTGAAGGCTTTGGTGTGAGCTATTTTTCTAATGTTTTGTTGATATTTCACAGGCGCGAGCTTTTTATATGTTATGACAGTAGATTACCGATTTAACTGTTTATATAATTTCATTTGTCTATTTCACACCACGTTCTTCTTACCGAGTCACTTTCTCAGTTTGATACTTAAAAGCAAGGTCATTATTTAGCGTTGACAGAATTTCTAACTGTGATATAGATATGTCGTCACAGTCAAAACTCAATGTCTTGTTTTATTGACACCTATGTGTCTGCCTGCCTGTCTGCTAATGACAATATTCAATACACAACTTCGATCACTGACCACATGCAATTTGAACTCAATAAACCTATCAGGCTATACACCATAAACAAAACGCATTGATTTATGGCCCGAGTTCGGTCTCTGTCACATTATGTAATTACACAGACAGGGAGGTGTGATACTTGTACACATGACATGTTATGATGTCTGTTGATTGCAAAATGTTAAACACAAGAAATGAGCATGTATTTACAAAACCCAACATCTCTATATATACACACACAATGACCCGTGAGGGCATCTGCAAATGAACCAGCCGTTACACTTGAGTGCACACCCACCCGCTCTGACTGGGTTCGGTATCCCGGCTGCTTCGTTTCTAGGGAAGTAAACCCAAGTACAAAATATTGCACTTTTGATTTGCGATTGTACGCTTATAATTTTGTTTATATGTTTTTTCATAATCAGCAATGTATATTATATGTCATGAATAAGTGATAATGGCGTTTTAATTATGTTTGATTTTTTGGTTGCATGTGACCTTTAATATTGGTCTTCAGCCGCCCATGCTTGTTGTAAGCAAAGACTAATGAGACCGGGTAGTCAGACTCCCTGACTTGGTTGACGCATGTTCCTGTAACTGTATCCCATAGATCAATGCTTCTGATGTCAATAACTGGATGGTTTATCCCACACTTAATTATTTACATATCGCTGTTTACAGCTAGAACAATACTGAGTGTCACGTTTAACAAGACACGTAGATATACTATTCACACTTTGCTAAGGATCAAATCATGGATTCAACAGAAAACTATGATGTGGGCTCAAATTTGGTTTAAATATCTAAGCCTATTGTAAGCATGGATCCTAGGTTTCAGTATGTCACTGCATCTTGTGGATCCCATACCTGCTATTGACAGGTGTTGTGTACTTGTCAATGCCCTGTTCCAATTGATTTGCAAAATGGTTGATTGGTGCCATGAAAACCATTTTTATTGTTACTCATGCACCATGTGCATAAGGTTAGATTAAAGTGAATGTTTGCGAAGAGGGGTTACCGTATTATTATTTATCCAGTTTTAAATGGATACAATTTCAAAAATTATAAATCTATGTTTAAGGAGAGTTGTGAATTTTTGTGATCCTTTGCAAAGTGTGAGTAGTATATTAAGCACCAGTATGATTTCATGTCAATAGTTTTCTGTCTTATCAGCTCAGCTCATAACAGTCAAAACCAAAATAGCCTGTAACTGATGCTTAGTTACAGAACATATTCATAGGGCGTGAGATTGATTTGGTATGAGATATAAGCAATGCTGATTGGACAGTATTTCACTGACAATTTTGTTTGTGTTTGTCGTTTAGCATGCACTCAGCAATATTCCAGCAGTCACTAAATAATCAAGTCTGAACCAGACAATCCAGTGATTAACATCATGAACATCAATCTATGCAATTGGGATATGATGGTGAGTGTCAACCAAGTCAGCGAGTCTCACACGCCTGATCCTGTTAGTCACTTATGGGTTGTTGAAAACCAATTCTAACCCAGATCTTCGTTGATCCGTTAATCGCCTCTTAAGACAAGCATAAGGGTTGTCGAAGACCAATTCTAACCGGATCTAAGGGACCGTTCATAATTTATGGCAAGGGGGATGATGATGATTTTTTATGCAGAAGCATGTACAATGTGAATGACCCCCCTAAAATTTACATACAAAGTAAGTGCCCCCACATATGTACAAAATCAATTACCCCTCCCCATTCCCATAACTTTTAAGCATATTATTTTCATATTTTTATGTACAAAAATTGCTGACGACCCTAGAACATGTGTACAAAATTGATGACCCCCTACCTCCCAGAACAAAATGGGTTACCCCTTAAAATCATCATCAACACACACCCACTTTTAACCCCCAGCTACAAATTATGATCATACGCCACACTCAGCAAATATTCCAGCTATATGGCGGCAGTCTGTAAATATTCGAGTCCAGACAATCCAGTGATCAACAACATGAGCATCGATCTGCGCAATAGGGAACCGATGACATGTGTCAACCAAGTCAGCGAGTCCTGACCACCCGATCCAGTTAATCGTTAGTCGCTAACTGAAGTGGGTCTTGGCGTGTCTTATTGTGTGTGTGTGTGTGTGTGTGTGTATGATCCCTTACTGCATCGGAAATCTTTAGTTCAATAAACTACGGTAGTTCGGAAATTTTCCCAATTCATCAAAAGGCCCCTTTTAACTAGTCTGTCATACAGACCCTTAAACAATACACCCAATAGAGCCCATGCAAGTCTAGACTGTCAGACAAGTCTAGATTACCACAGCTTCAGTTTCTGAAAATGAAAACAGTCTCTTGACTTCTTTTTATTGCAAGAGTAGTCAGCATTTATGATGTCTGTTGATTGCAAAATGTTTTACACAAAAAATGAGCATGTATTTACAAAAC